CTCAGTTGTATCTTACTTTTTATAAGGAAATAAGGAAATGGTGTTTGAGTTGTTCTTGCCTTCATTGTCAGAAAAGAAACAAAGATCGACGTACCATTGATTTACTTCCTCATTTCTACCGACAAAACGAGCACGTCGCGGGAGATAATTCATCCTCAGCCTCTGGGATCTCATCGGGCCTAGGCTAATCTTCATCGCCACTTTCGCAGTTCCCGTTCGCCCTTGGTAGGGCAAGTACTTCACCACCACATGCTCCAAATTCATCGTCGCTCGATCTTAAGTCTGTTGTCATTCCTGAAGAGCTGTCGTGAAAATTGCGAACTGAAATTCTAACCACTAACCGAATTCCCTCCCTCCGATTCACTCTACTACCTACTACAATGTTGTTTTCGTTGCGATCGGGGCACGTGTCCACGACTTTACGTCAGCGCCTGAAACTTGTCTCCAGACCTCTCCGCCACCGAAATGGAGAAATTTCACACTTCGCGTGGTGAATGCAGGAAAACCAAAAGAAAAACACTAATTTCGTGTCGATATTCGAAATCAGCACGATGAAAACTACTAAATAATTGATTTTCATTTTTCACTTCAGTTCCCCTTTAATGTCTGTATAAAGATGGTATCATTTTATAAAATTCTTCAAGATCTGTTATGAACTTTCTTCAAGATTGGAAATAATTTTTGAAGTGCTCTTCCAGATGATAACGGAGAGCTATCTTTTTTGCACAATCAGCAATTCGCTTTCCGTAATGTCGAAGATCGTTTTCTTCTAAAAGGGATTCGTAATCATTTTTCAATGATAACAATTTATCCCCAAACAAGATCAAATCGTATCTTGAAATATAAAAGGAAATTATATTTCAGATATGTTCTGTATTCCTTTGTTTGATGTGGATGTGGTTTGTTGTTAAAGAGATTCCATTTGAGCCTTAAGTTGGTCCTTCTTTATCTTTATCTACTTCTGTGGCATGGAACTGATGACTCAGTTTGTGATCACAAGTATTTTATAGTCCTTACATTTTTTTGCTTTAACTAATCTGAAATGAATGACCACAGTGATAAAGGAATTAAACAGTAGTTTTTAGGGCCTTATTTTTTAAAGATTCGAGTCCTATATTAAAGGGTGCCAATATGCATCTTCATTTAGTTTTGATCCCCTAATTTCCTTCAATTTTTTAGTTTTCGACTGCATAAAAGTCTCCCATGTTGACTTATGAAATTACTGCCATGTAAACACTTATGATATCGTATTCCAATCCTTTTCTATTACTTATGGCTCTTGCAGGTGTGCCTCACAATTCTACGTTGTGGTGGCGACAAACAAGGGACTATTTTCTGGGGTCAAAAATCTCTTGAGTGCGAGGGCAAAGTCGAAGGATGGTAGGGCGAATGCCCCTGCAGCAAAGATCGTTGCCCGCAGTTAGTATGTTAAAAAAAGCCCTGATACAAAAACCAAATGCCTGCCATACAAAAACAGCACAAATATTCTTATAAAATATTTAAAACAACTGTGGTCCTCGAAAATGCGTTCTATAGGTCTTTCGATTATAAAAAGCTCAAGATACCTCGTGCCGCCAGTCCAAACAATCTTTCATTTATTGACTTTTGTCTAAGGTTGTGTTTTTTTATATTTTTGGAGATAATTCTCGCGTTAGTTGCTATTAGTAATGCTGCAGATGGCTAGATGCGTGAAAGATGATGATGATGATGACTCCCAGCATTTATCTTTATCAACATAATGATAATAATGATAATCAATCGTCATCATCTTCATGATAATAATAATGGAAACTTTTCATTTTGAATTCCTGTTAAAACTACAATTATAAATCTCACTATTACAAGGTAATTTGTAACTGGCTAGCCTGTGTTTACAAAATAAAAACTATTACATCGTAGTAATGAGAAAAAAAAATTGTTAAAAGGGGTGTAGCTCTGGATTAGTCCAAGTTTTTTTCTACAGCAGAATATATAGTATGTGGTGCGAATGGAGATGCTTGTAAGTTTGGAGATGAGGTAGCGTTTCTGTTGATGATCAATGGACAAAGAGTCACACATGTCGATGAATGAGCTGCAGGAGTCGCCAAAATACCAAGTGAACTGATGGAAAGATTGACAAACGAGACACATTTGAACTTTCGCTGTAAGTCAGATAGGAGAGGAGCATACTTGCTGTGTTTTCTTGTTGCATTTGTGTCAAGATTGGATTCAAAACCAACAGTAAGCTCTAAGATGTATAGGTAATTGTTGTTAGTCTTCAAGAGAAGATCTGGGCGAAGGTTTTCTCCAGTTATGATTGATGGTGAAAGATAGCCAGGTATATCAGCGTAGATGGTAGATTCATTAACAGCTTTAAGAGACGTAGCTAGAAAGTTTAAGATAGAGTTATGACGCCAGGTGTATCGGCCTTGTTCCAAGTATGTTTTGCAGCCAGCAACAACGTGAAGGAGGGTTTCTGGCAGAAAACAGAAAGAACAATCAGAAGTCTGGCTCAAGTTCCACTTTTTCAAGTTTTTCTGTGTAGCAAGGGTATTGTTCAGGTACCTTATGGTGAAATTGAAAATATTCTGAGGCATGCTACTTTGCACCTTGGACCAGAGTTTGTTTATTTGTGGAAGATCCTGGTTAAAAAGATGTGACAATAAAGATCCTTGGGAAGTTAGAATGTTTTGCAGACGATCTTTATGTTCTTGCTGGACAGCCTTTAATGCTTCTTTCGTGTTCCTATATATATCATATTGTATATTTGTGCTACTGCTGGTATTTTTCCATAAAGAGCGAATGTTATCGTTTGGTGAAGATTTCAATGCGTTGCGTAAAATAGTTTGACACTGTAGGAATTTGGCGGATGGTAAAGTTAGGCTGAGTCCAAACTGGTTTTTAGAAAGAATAATGCTACTCAAGGTAGCACTTATTGGGAGGTCGAGCCACTGGCGGATGTATTTGGATACAAGGTTGTCAAGATTCTCGACAACCCACGTCTTTGAAAGATCTGCTACAGTAAGGTTCCAAGAGATTTTAGAAAGAACAAAGTTGTGATAAAGAAGCAACTTATTTTTTGCATGTAGAGGCTGGGAATCAATTTGTTTGAGCATGTTGGACACTGATGATAAAAGATCAGATTTATGTTCTTGGTTTGTCATTTCAAAGTCAAAATGACGACCGAGGTACTTACAAGAATTTCCATTCGAGACAGGTGGGATAGATTCGTTGTTTATGAAAAGCTTAGGTTGATACTGAAGAGAACGTGTGGAAAATTTCTTTAACAATAATAACGATAATAATAATAATAATGATCAATTATCATAAATCACGGTTGACCATTATTGTTTTTCTTAATGTTATTATTATTATTATTATTATTATTATTTCATCATTACAGGTTCAAGCAGGGATGCCTGCACAAAATTAGGGCAGGAGGGGCAGTTTTGGTGCTGAGGGCAAATCGTAGAATTTTACAACTAATATGATCGAGTATTCCTGGTTGGGTCGGGGGGGGGGGTGAGAGTGGGGTAACATAATAACATATTAACATGGATATGTGCCGCCCATACAGCTGGGTTTTTTCACCATCAATGATTCCGAGATAAAATAAAGAACTTGAATCACAAGAAAAAAGAAACAAATAAGAAGTTCTTTATTTTATCTTGATGATTCTAAACATAGAGAAAATGTTGACGAAATTATCCATACACAGAAATGGGCATTGAATGGCCTTGTACCTTTTCACAATATTTTGATTTATAAAAATTATGGCTGTTATAAATTGACTGGTTGTGAAATGTTGATTGCCCGCTGAGATTTAATACCGATTTGTCCTCCTTAGGTTCGTGGAGTACTTCTGAGGGGACAAATCTTTTGTTTATCTACTATTATCTTTGCCGCTCTCCCTTTTGTGGCACCTTGTCACAGGCAAACTTTTCAACCTTTGCGTTTTTTGCTGGTGTTATAATCTTTCTGATCATTTCTAACAGAAATTATCATAACCAGAGTGGTCAAAGTAGTCATCAATCATCGACTAGATTCTATAATATTTTTTTCGCCCCCTCTGCCCCCCTTCGAAGAGGGCAGGAGGAGCAGCTGCCCCTCCAGCCCCCCGGTGTAGGCGCCCCTGGGTTCAAGCATGTCATTTTTTGTAAATCTCTCCATTATCATTCTTAGCATCTTGAGCAATTCTTGTCACTTAACCTTGAAATGTACAACTCCTTTCTCACCGATGAACATCAAATGAAAACGATATCTCTTTTTCAAGTCTTTTTCGATAACCATTCTCTGTTGGAACGAAACATGTGTTAGTTCTTTTTACACTATTTACACAACTATTGACATAAATATGGGAATTGCACTTTATATTTTTGTTTTTAAACCCGGGCAAGTTTATATATGTTTACCCAGGACACAATTTGTTTGCCAGAGCAGATGGTGCTCTAGCCTGATAACCAGCCCATTATTCCTTTAGAATAATCTGGTTATATCAGGCTACACGCTTTTTTATAAGCAACCTACCTCAAGGCCTAGTTCCAAAAGTTCCTTATTCGTAGACCTCAAATCATCAAATTGTAGTACCAAAAGTTTCTTAATAGTTCCTTCATTTGTTTTGACTACAGATTTTGACACTTACACTAAATAGAGAGAGGGGCGAGACAGCATATGCGGAAACTACTCAATGAAGCACTCGACACACGAATAGCAAACAATTTTTGCGAGTATTGGCTGCCTATAAATGGAACGGGTTTTTAGTTTTTGATGCTTTGCAGTTATAAAAAAATTTCAAATCGTAAAGTTCCTTAGGGATTTCCTAGTATAAGTTCTTTAAATATTTCGGCCTTCTGCATGTAGGTTCCTTATAGAGTGGTCCCGTTTAAAAATATAGGTATATGTATGCGTTCCCCGCGACCCACTACATAGTGTACTCAATTCTTCGTACACAAAAAAACGTGTATTGATGCCCTCAATCGTTTACGTTTTCTCCCGCGTGTTTCCCGCGCGGCTGCGGCATAAGACATCAAACATTGTGGTTGACAACAAATATTTATTGCTGTTTTCAATTCGGGAACCGAGGTGTGAAGGTCGTAACAAAACGCAAAAAGTTAGTACATTACGCAAGCATAGGATCCGTTAAAGTTTCGCCGGAGAAAATGGGTGGATTTAACGAAGAAGGTAAGCCTTTTCTTAGGGGTGCTTTGTTTTTGACAACGGTAATTGATCCCTTTGAAGTTTTTCTTCTCTCAGCTGTATAATCCGCTATTAGCAAGAAGGCCTACGCCGTTCAAAATCTGTCAGAAATTCATTTTAAACAGATATTTCCTCAAGACTGATGTATCCAGTATATTTTTCTATAAAATCAGGAAGTCTCGAGAGATTTCTTAGAACCAACTAACGAAGTAATTTGGCAAATGACCCATTAAATAATTGCATAGATATGAGCTGAATTGGATGTACGCTCGTATGCCGGTGACCAGCTAATGTAAATTTCGGATGCCGTAGAGTTGTAAAAAAATGAAAGAGATCTTTTTATCATTTAAGTATTAGGGGGTTGATTGCAGATAATTTTTCAGATTTGTCAGTTGTTTTCGTCGGTTTCTTATCCTTTAACGAATTCGTTACCTTGGCCGTTCATAGTTAACCCACCCCTTGTGTTTGAGGGCGTTATTTCAAGTTTCAAAGTCCGGCTGGCTAATGGCTAAAATGGATGCTTGCTTACCCACTTTTACAGGGTAAAACAAGTCAATGATGATAAATTTTTCAAATTGACCTAGACGTGTGAGTTACTGGATTTTAAAGATTAGTGGTTAGAAATCAATTTTTCAAATTGTCTAGACGTGTGAGTTAGTGGATAAGTGCACTCAAGTGGAATTACTGGATGTTGAGAGGATAACGAATGTCCGAAATCACAACCAGCACGCTATCTTTCTATACAATGCAATAACAATATTCATATTTATCGTCCATTCAAAGTTGGTAGCTAAATTTGCATGCATTACTGCATTCACAGAATTAGAATTGATAGAAATTCGTTGGATGATGCAGGCGTCGTCACGGTACAAGGATTTCTGCTTTGTAAGCAATTGTTGATTGCTGCAAACAATAGATAACGGGATAATCGATTTTTATAGATTGCTATGCTTGTAATGTTGATAATTTGTACTGGACATGACAGGGCATCACGTAATGCTTTATTTTCCCGAAATGGTGATGATTTTCTGTATTACAAAAATTTATTTATGAAAGGACAAAACCAGGCAACTGCTGGAAAGGCAATACAACTATGCGAGCTGAGGCTGAGCAATAATCTGATAAAAATTTTAAAAATTGGCTGATTCTGTGTCTGAATATGCTGATTAACAATATTCTTGTTTAAAAGAATCTAGGCAAGTTTGTATAATCAATTGGATTGCTCGACCTCTTGCAAGTTTATGAAATCATTTTGATCATGTAGCCTTCCAATGCTGAAAATTTTTCAAAATGTCAACTAGCCCTGGTTCTGTTGTTAACAGGTCTGCCACTTCAGCAAATATATAAGCAATTGCTTATCAATGCATTTCTGTCCCTTCATTTGTCACTAATAAAAACAAATAACACATAAGGCAGGTATATGATTAACCACACTTCCAGAAGTGTAGAGATGTATGCCAAAATGTGCACACCATTTCCACTAATACTATGGAAGGCATCTTTTAAGAAAAAAAAGAGCTTGTCATAAATTTCTGAAAAATGATTGGTTTGTATCTGAATCCTCAATCTCATCCTGGTTGAAATAAAATTGTCTCCTTTGATATCATGATTTTGTTTTCTTGTCAAAATTTACTACTTTGACAAATTTTTATCATTTTTGTTAGCAAGGATATGCCCAAGCTCTCTATTTTTTGTCTTCACTATTAAGATATATGTATATAAACCATTCCTTTCATTGCTAAAAATATTAAATGTTCCAACGACTATATTATAAGCAAAGTGGTATCTCCATGTACCTGTTAATGATATCTCATAGCTCTATCCCTATAGACAGCTATGGAATAACCAATTGGGCCATGAATGAAGAAGGACATAATATGAGCTACCAATTACAATAGGAGTTGGTTGCTATTGGCAGTTTAGAAGAGGAGGGTTACAAAAAAGCGTAATTAGCATTGTTTATTGCATTCATGATCTGTGTCATGTGTGTCATCATTGTGTTCATTTTTTTCTGAGTTTGACCATATTGCAGATTTTGCAGTTTTTTGTGAATCTTCCAGTGTCATCTCCATGCATGTTAGCCTAGAATGGCTACCTTTGTGGTTAAAGATCCCCATATTTTTATCCATGAGATTCATTGACTGCTGAAATTGCAATTAAAGATATTGAATCACATAAAAAGTTGAATGCCATTGAAAAATTACTTAAATGAGGGGACTATACAATTTGTATTCCCAAAATAGAAGTTTTACCTGTTAGTTTACGTAATTAACAAAGATAAAATCAGTTGTACACACCTGTATAGTGCTTTCTCCTTAAAGATAAATATTTATTGTGTCATTGGTTCTGTGAGTTTCTTTATGTGGTAGCTCTATCTAGCCATTTTTCTGTTGACTAAGCAGCTAATTACAATTCAACCAGTAATGTGTGTCAGGTCATCAGATAGCTTTATTAAGGATTACAATATTTTCTACAAAAAGCTAAACAGGGCTGGCTGTTTGAAATTTGCTCCTACAAAGCTCCATTCATTTGCAGGTTCTGTTTAGATGTAACTTGAAAACAGACAAAAACAAAAATGTCAACGTTAGAGGTTGAAGGGATCTTTAACAGCAATTTCTTTAAATATTACTATATTGATGATTATAATTTTGATTGACATCTAGGCCATTTTAAATATGATTATAAATCACACTGTTCGTGATATGGCTTGCCTTAACAAATGTGATGAGCAATTCACAGCTCGCCTATAGAAATACAAAGGCCAGGCTCAGCTTAGTCACCACAGCAGGCTGTTCTAGCATCACTTATAACTACAGTAGTTTTAAGTGTTGTTTTAAGTTTTAGGATTTTTGATTGCCTTTTGTTTATCTGAGCATATTTTATTTTAAAAGGGCATCCCTTTAAAATCTCACTCGAAGTTTCAATTAATGTGAAATGTGGAATTTATAAAACTAACAAGAAACACAAACTTTGTGCCTAGCATCATGATGGTTAACTATTGTTAAAATTTTGATGAAAATTCTTGTTTGTTTTCTTATAATAAGAAGACAAAGGGATCAATTGAGATCATGTGAGAATAAACATTTTTCTGAAAATTATTGCGATCCGAGAGCAGTACTTTTGAATGTATTTGACTTTATATTTTCCTTTTGGTATCAGATTTTCCTGCTACCAACAAATTCTTTTAAATGAAGTTTTCTTGAATATCCACATACAATTTGTCAACTGCATGTAGATGCAATTCGCAGCATGTATCTACAGAGAGACAGACTTTCCCAAACTCTATTTTTCCATAATATTTAAAACAAAATATTCATACTGCTAGGACAAGTCTGAGCTGCCAAGTGTGAATTATTTATCCCCAACATCTACATATATGCACAGCCACATTTACAGAATGATTCCCCTTTATATTTTAACAAATAATAGTCTTTAAGACATTTAACAGGGAACAGAAAAATTATCTCAAATTCTATATTTTTGTGATTTCTTTTTCTAGAAATTGAGCGTGGCAATGATGAGCTTGGAATATGTGGCTGGATTCTTACGGCTCTGTCGTTCCTCATCATCTGCTGTACATTTCCATTTTCTTTGCTTTTCAGCATAAAGGTAACCAGATTTGCCACATTATTTTGCCTCTGTCATAAAGAGGGTTTCACTTGATTTTCAAAATATAAATTGGCAATATTGTCTCCTTGAAATGTTTTTAACTATAATTTGTTAGAATAATTGCAATAAGTTAATCTTAGAATCTACTTTAAGTATTCTCAACACTGAAGAACCAATAGTGGGAAACATCAAATTGATATTCCAAAATGAGTAAAAAATGTAATTATGCCTAGATTGTGGGCTGCTTTCCCCCAACCAAAAATGTTCACCATAAATTTTTTGGTTTACTTGATTTGTGTTGTATATTTTTATTTAATGTTATGCAAATTAAGTCAGCTAGCAAATCACCAACCAACCAAAAAAAGCAACTTTGGAAATATACACTTTTGCTGTGATGAAGCCCCGTAAGCCCAGACGAAATATAAGCCACAGTTAATTACCTGTGTTTATTGTTGTTTGTTCTCAGCAGGTTATGGTATTCCTTATTTGCTACATTGAGAAATATAGGCTCACTTTGTTAAAACATAAGAAACTAAGATATATGGGATCAGCATTTTTGCTAAGATACCTCACAAAAAGCAATCTAGAACTTTATCAGCATTCTTGTTGCCAAGACCAGCTTAAATCTGTTTTTGTTTATAGATTGTCCAAGAATATGAAAGGGCAGTAATATTCAGGGTTGGTAGACTTAAAAAAGGAGGAGCAAAAGGACCTGGTGAGTTGCATATGAACATATGTTAACCTTAGATATGACCCTATGTGCAAGTCTACTTGTAGCCATGTTAAAAACACATTAGATTACATATATACCCACTGAGACACTCCTTTGGTTTCTGGTTCTCTTTGACCAGTTGTCTCCTAATGTTTTAGGCCATCACTATGTATTGTTGTCAAAGTTCTTGCAATCTAACTTAGTTAACTGAGACTTTCATGCAATCTAACTTAGTTTTTTAACCTTTTATAATACCTGAGACAACCTTCCTACTGAATAACTTTTCTTCTTCTATTTTGACCTGCTGTTTCACTAAAGAGAAGTTTCTTAAAAAATATTTTTGGTATGCAAGCTACCAGAATGGATAAAACACTTTAGTCATTGTTGGTCAAATCTGCTTTCCTGCTCCACTTTATTCTTACAATGTGGACGAATCTTATGCCTCCCTGGTCACCGTTTGAAACTTATTGCTAAACGAATGTGACTCATCACAAGTATTTGTTTCCTTAATTCTAGGAATTTTCTTCATTATACCATGCGTTGATAACTATATCAAAGTCGACCTGAGGACGGTTTCTTTCGATGTTCCACCGCAAGAAATTTTGTCCAAAGACAGTGTCACAGTTGCTGTGGACGCTGTTGTCTACTTCCGTGTCTCTAATCCGATCTCGTCAGTTGTCAATGTGGAAGATGCAACTCGATCAACAAAGTTGCTTGCCCAGACGACGCTGAGAAACGTCCTTGGTACAAAGAGTCTGAGTGAGATTTTGGTTGAACGAGAAAACATCAGTCATTCCATCCAGGTTTGTTGTCCTAAGTTGCATAGCGTTCCATTGAACCTTTGAAAGGTATTTCCACTCCATTGAACCTTTGGTGTATCGGGTCTTCATAGAAGGGATCCCTTCTGTTTCTCATTGTAATAAAAGCTGATTCATATTTATTTTTCAGCAAACTCTGGACGAGGCAACAGACCCGTGGGGTGTGAAAGTGGAGCGCGTAGAAGTGTAAGTTTTTTCCCTTCACTTGAGATACTTGTAGAAAGCATTGTTGCTAAAAAATAGCTTCAACCTAGAAAAAATGGAGGAAGGCCAACTAAAACAAAAAAACCTAAAATGTCATACCCAAATACAATTTCTTTTTGTAACTACAGTGAGATTATGGGATCGCTAATCCTTTTTTAAGCCCAGTCAAAACAGCAAGCTTAACATATTTTCATTCCGGTTTGATGCAAAAAATTGTTTCAGCCGGGTACACATGCTAAATTGTCATCTTTTTCTTCGCATGGTCGCATCAAAATAGCCATCACCAAAATGGACCACCGATTTGAGGTGCAGCTGCAAATTTGTATTGCGTCGTGATCTACTTTCGAATCTGTTTTTAATCAAAATAGGTCTTAGCACCCAAGACACGAAAAATGTTTTATTTAGCAGCCATGAGATATCATTAAAAAACTGGTCCAGCTTCTCTGAGCTATTTGCAAGCTGTATGGAGGTTTGTTTTGCAATGTAGCAACTTGAATATTATTGTAGGGTCTTGTTCAAATCAGTCGAATCAATTGGATTAGAATAGGCAATTCGATGCATTCAATATATTGTGGCGTCGTTCAAAGACCGCGCAATCATTGCAAACAAGCAGATTGTATCTCCAGCTTATATATATATATCTTTTTAATTAAGCATTCATTGTACATGCTTCGAAATTCATGATTTTACCATCGTTTACTTGTATGGAGTTATGTTGTCCATTCAACCTAACGAATATAATTCCTATTCAGTTCCGACGGATCTCTCAGTACAGCAGATTTCTTAAGTGCGAGATCAAAAAAGATGTATTTGTCTTTGATTTAAAGACAGATGTAAACTGAAAGAACGCCATGAAATACCACCGAAACTGCAAAATCCATAAAATTTGTTAAACATTATGTGAGTTATGGCCAATGAAACATTTTATGTTTGTTGCTTACCGTGATTTTGACTTGGTTCGAAAATTTATCAGAACCGAGACCAAGCTATTGGGAAAAAGCCCATGCTCACGTGGCCACATCTCTTCAAATTAAACTGGTTTGGCACATTCAGAAGTATTTCATAAGGCTCTTTCGTGTATTTTTGCCAAATTTAAAAATTCCTTGAAAAATTCTTATTCGAAAATCTAAAGATATACTTTTATGACGTCATCACCAAAGAAATCATTTTTGGATTGACACAAACATCAAATTCCCTTTCGTCGCCATACCTATTCAGTGACGTGATTATGATTGCAATTTCAGTAAGGACGTGCGATTGCCGCAACAGTTGCAACGTGCCATGGCAGCAGAGGCAGAAGCATCTCGGGAAGCTCGCGCAAAGGTATGTTTAAAATCCACCCTTGCAGTCAGTCTTTCATTTGAGGAGTTCTAATAATAATTAAAAATAATATTGTGCAGTGTGTGCTAATATAAGAGATGCTTGTACGTTGAATATTAACAAGAGGACATGGTACAAAACTTGCTGCTTTGTGGAAGCTTCTTAGCTGTGTCCGATGAGCATCTTTGGTCTATGTATGAGAGTCGATAGGAGTCGACTGACCTATTGATTTCGGACAATAAAAGGTACCAGAACAGTGCTAGTTAAAATAAGAGAAGGATACTTCAGTAACTAGCTACAAAAGTTTTATGCCAAAGTCATTCATCTCGTCCTACAAAACTAGGGGCATGGCCTGTATACATTGCAACCTATGCATGATCAAGGAAGTGCGGAAAGCTAACGATTTTTTTCTGGTCATCAGAAATGACCCCAAGCAGATGAAAAACTTCAGACCGATCGAATTTTTGGTGGTCCCGCTTGCCGTGTTCCGTAGAGTGAGCATGGCAGCACAGTTAAGCTCCTCGTTTCGTGTGATTGTTAGTGGGCTGAAGTTTTGTTTTCTTTTCATTTGTTTTTCAACGTCTCTGTCTTTTTAAAGGTAATTGCTGCTGAAGGAGAAATGAATGCTGCACGTGCCTTGAAGGAGGCATCAGAAGTGATTAGTGAGTCACCAGGAGCATTGCAGCTTCGCTACCTGCAAACACTGCAGACTATTTCTGCTGAAAAGAATTCCACCATCATCTTCCCTCTACCAATCGACATGATCCAGCAAGTCACTCATAAACTGTAAAATGATTAGCACTGAATGTCATGAGTCGGATTGACACGACGCCATTGTATATAGGCCACCTTTTGATGCATTTTATTCTTTCAAATTTAACGCATTTAACTCTAAAATTTAGTATTATCTCGCTTTTTCCTTTTTTTGGCAATATTTGAATTTGCTTTAGACGTATTTATAGATTAGCTTTGCGTGGAACTAACCTGGAACCTTTTATTTGGTTACAATCCATTCCCCACCTCCTCTTAATTGCTCTATCTTCATACTTGCATTTCATTTCTCTAAATGTATATTGTAAGTAATCTCTGTAACAGCGATATGTAATCCCATCTACCGACTCATCATACCCCTTGCATGGCTCGAACTTCATAATCAAGTCAAATATCACTTTGTAGAGGGCTGCCATATACAGTCAGTTTCCTCTGTTATTTCCATTGTGAAAAAGAACAGCACGAAACGTATTAAGTATTATTCGCTTGTTTAAATGAAATAGAAAGTTGCACATATTCACTGATTTAAGTGGATCGTTAATATACCACCATTGGTTATTGGAAGATTTATACTTTCTTGTCATTTGTCTTGTTGATTGGACAGCAATCGGGGCTGAAACCAAGCCCTTTGCTCCCTGAAATCACTGCCTGTCATAAATGCCAATAATGGCAGATTCTTTGCTAACATGAATACTACTATGGGACAGAATCAGATGTCAGGCCCTCCCAGGGGCAATTCACTCTTGCAAATAGCGTACGAGATTTTGCCTAAAAGAAAAAGATTTCTGGGGACTTTCAGATATAACAATAGGATTTTCACAAAAGGTGTACGAGATTTCTTAGAGTAATTTGCCCCTCGAGGCCCTTTGTGTAATTAATTTAATAGATCTCGACGATACTCGTCGGCCAGGCCAGGCCGTCTTTGATAAAGATTTTCCTTCAACCATACAGAATGACATGTCACGAGATGATTCGTTTGGTTACATTTCTCTTTTGCTTTATGTTTTGTTCTTTACCGGATCTCTCTGATTCTCTTCTTGTGATTTGTGACGTCGAAATCACCTTTTTAGCTTAAAGTCTCGCATCTCAACAAGGCTTATTTTTATTGTGATTATTGCAGTAAACCAACGGCTAAGCTCAGCAACAAAATTGCCGTGCCATTTATAACTATTTCCATACAATAAATTGGAAAATCAAAGATCTACACAACATTCTAATCAATTCTATGTTTTATGAGTGTTGGTCTTTTAGTCTCCAAATCGCACGACAAATCAAGACGGCAATGATGCTAATGTACCACGGATCCTAATGCAGGACTTGCCGGCAAGTGACTCGGTCGTGTTCAAAAAGTAATCTAAAGATTGTAAAAATACCTAATTGAATTTGATTAATCGAAAGGCTACATCGAGGTAAAAGTCAAATGTTAAGGAACATGGTTGCAAAGTAGTTAAAACTCCCAATAGCGATGTCTTTCGAAAGAATAGTAGTCTTTCTCAACGTCAATTTTTGTTACGGGGAGTCTGGGCTGTAAAAGTGGGACTTCTGAAGGCAGAAGGTTGGTTTCTGTTGAAAAAATACGCTATTAAAGTATTGGTAAACATATTACTTATATCAAGAGCAAAAAGCCGGTAATATTTCACTTTGTGGTTGGTTTAGAGTTAAGTATATCCTCAAATAACCAAACAGAGCTAATAGAGACAGCACAAGCTGAGCTACTTAACATCGCAAAATGGACGAGGATTGGTCTCAACTCCACCAAACACAAAGTACGTGATATTAAATCATCCTCGTAGAAGAAAGAAAGAGTCAATTCCGCAACTTTACATAAACCGATAAAAAATAATCAACTTAACAAAACAAGATAGCTCAGAGTAATAGTTAACGGTACCTTAGACTTTTTTTATAAACCAATTTGATTACAATACAGACATTACATAACTATACTAATAATACCGGTCTTGTGCTTGCGTTTTTCTGATTGCCTTATTTCGATCCACAACTGGGTATTAGTTTTTAATCGTGTTCTTTCGGACCCTTATTCTGACGTTTTATGCTCTGAGAAGTGTCAGACGAAAAAAAGGTTTTTTTTAATATGTTGTAAAATGTTTGCTTTTTTCAAAGCCATTTTCAAGTTCTGTACCGCCAAAAATTGTTCACATGACTATACTCTAAAACAATATCTACTTTACAACTCAGATATGATGAATACCTACACTCTGGATGAAGCAAGTGGAGTTTTAATAAAAATTTATGGAATTTAATTAAAGATTTAGGCTGCAAGCATAGGGCAGCTATAAATGAAACTTTCCCTTATGTTGAGAAGAACAGTACGATTCCGTCGAGAAAAAGGTTGTTTGGAGCCTTGCAACAATAAAACATTTAAAGGCATTCTCCCACAATCAATGCTTTTTCAAGTATACAAAGCCCTTGTTGAGAGTCATCTTCGTTATGCTGACCTAGTCTGGCGAACGTGATCGAACACTAACATTACAGCCCTTCAGAGACTGCAAACGCGTGCATTTGATAGCAAGCATCAAAAATAAAGACTCTACAATTCGACCAACGTCGGTTCTAATGTTCGAGATAATAACCATATTTGTTCCGAGAGCCTGCAGGACAACTAAGAAATAACACTCCGATTCCCAAGGCTAAACTTAGATAACATTTTAAAAGATTTTTAATAGACTTTCCCTAATTACGTCATAGCGCAATGCATTCTGGTAAGTGTAGTTAAACCCGCGAACATTTGTTTATGTTTTGTACGGCGATCGAGCAAATCGTGGAAAATACGGCAGAATGTACCGAACAGCACTTCCCTAGTTTTTCTGAAAGCTCTTGCCGAGAAATCAGCGCTGCAGAAAGTCGTCCAGACGAAATAAAGTCGTGCACGACAATATTTTAACAATACGTTTCGTTGCATTCCATTGCAGTTTGGTTTTATTTTAAAGGTGCCTACGGTCAATTCAGACACCCCCCACTCAATAACGACCCCGCTTAAATGCTTCCCCGCCAAGGAATGGTAATGAAACGCCAAGAAAATTTGTTGCCCCGCCATGTTTGGCTTGTAACCCCCCTCACTTGTTTCTGTTCTTTTCCTGCTAAATTTTTCCTTTCCTGTAGTAAAATATTACAAATTCCTTCAGGGTTAAACATTTTCACCTTTTTTATTGTTGTGATCCCCGTCGAAAGTTTATGATTTGGGGCTTTCCCGCCGTATTTTCAATACCAAGCGATGTCGTTACTAGGGGGGTGTTTTCAGGTCCAAAGGTTCTTATTCCATGGGGTATATTTCTTACGTTTTCAGAGAAATGAGGCGCAATATTTTCTATAAAAATGAGGCGCAGTATTGAACTATTTTTCGGTTTACATGAAATGGTATTAAAGGGTTACGCCTGCAATCTCGACGAGGTATGGGCACAGAAAAGTATAAGTACCAATGTCTTTGTATATAACTTCCTACTGAAAAATGTGGGAACTACGGCTTACTGGGCGTGGAGCATTTATTGACGCCAATTCTTGCATTGGTGAATATCGTTATTTTTTCGCCATCCTTTTATAAGCAGAGCAGGATTGTTTGTGAATCTTTGGCGGTATATATCTTCAATCACTTTATCTTGTTTGTTGGTTAGTTATCTATACATCTATTGAGGATCAATTGATCTGCGTCCAATCAAATATTTATAACAGCGCCTCAGCGCCCGCGTGCTCGTCGAATACTCACCGGTGGGAATTTCGCAATACACTTGACAATTTACAACAACGAGAGTTTAGACTCATGGGATCAGGGCATTCCTCCCTAGGCCATTTGCCTAAAAATTTGCAAATCACCCCACAAATATTTATAACGACTAGCTTTGTCAGGCCCAAAATTCGGCCAAACACTGGAGCCTCTTACAGATAAATGGTAAAGCTACGTAAGTACCATGAATTTCTGATTTTATTGGAGACAAAATAATGAAGTTTGTGAATAGGGAGAAACCGCACAGAAAAACACAGCAGGTGGTATTGGGTAAATAGATCATCGACGAATTGACAATAAATGCGAAACATAAGCTAATCAATGACGTGTTAAAGCTGATATTTCAGCAAAAAAATTACTTCAAATCAAAAAATCCTTCAATGAGCTTGAGAGCTGTCAAACTGCGGCTTTCCACCATAAATAATATATGCCATTGTTTCTAGGTAGACAACTCTTGCTCGTGGTAATGCTATTATTTTAAAATCAAGCTATACATCCAGCTCGTTTAGATTTTAACATGCAAAACAATCAAAGACGCGTATATGGTTCTGTAAAGAAGTGTTCCCCATCGATTTTAAGTGTTTTAAGAACAGGTTATAGTTTATTTGCAACTTTTTGGATCATATCGATAGGCAAAGGGAAGATGATGGTTGAATTCTTCTCTGCCGATATGGCCTGAAGCGTCTGTAGGTAGCGAAGCTGCAATGCTCCTGGTGACTCGCTAATTACTTCGGAAGCCTCTTTCAAGGCGCGAGCAGCATTCATCTCTCCTTGAGCAGCAATTACCTAAAATTTATAATAAAATTACTTGCGGTAATACTTGACAACCAATTCCAGGTTAGAAAAACCTGCATACACAAATAAGTAATTTAATACGCAATCGGCAATCGCTGCTTTTAATTACACAGTTGCGCTTATACAGTAGTAGCTAAGCAGTTCACAGGGATGGGTTCAGAAATCTCTTTAATTACTTGGCAGCAGTTTCATGCTTTTATGCGAACTGTTTTTAACACTTACTCCGGTTTCAGTAAAAGTAACAAAATAGCTTTCGGGGGATATGGCGAGGAGGCTTATTTTAAGCTCCGTTTTAGTGCCATGAAACCAACATCACAAAATCTCACAAAATTATTTATTTAAACCGGCAAGAAGTAAGAATAGATCCTGTTTAGGCGTTGACAGGGGGGCGATCCCCCTCTTCTTAACCGCTGGCCCAACATTGCGGCATCATGAAACAGCACAGTGAAAAACATGATCTGGGCACCCGTCAAAAAAGTGATCTGGGCAAGTCTTATTGCTTTGATCTGAGCCGGTATAGAAGACCGATCAAATTTTCATCAATCGAAAAACTCCTGAAAGGGCGTTCCAACAAAAACGTTCAAAACATATTGGCTTCCTTGAGATAAGAATCTAATGCCGATAAATCTATCCGCAAATTAGTTTGATGCATTTGCGTTTGATCACGGTATCTGGCTTTTAGACCTTGGAGGAAATAGACTGAACATTTAAGTAAACTTGCAACTGAACACTACACTATTCACAGTACTTAGTGGCCGTACGCGTGGCCATTCTACTGACCAATTTAAGAAAGCTCCAGATGACTGCAGCGCCATTTTGATTATTCTCAGGAAATGCCGTCAATTTTTAATCTGGGCATGCGTGTACTGGATAAATGACTTGTGTATGTTTAGTTGGGTGGCCAAATAAACTAAATATGCAACTGCACGAATGTTGCTCATCAAGCGATTAACAATCTTCAGCGACTGAATTAAGTTAGCAAATGCACTGGAATTTTGACAAGACTTCGATGTTGATGTTGGACAATATTCAATGAAATGCTCAATTTATTTGCCTAAATTCCCTTACAAAGATCTACATCGATTTGTTCTTTCCTAAAATAGTTATTATTATCTTTAAACAAAAAGAAGCTAGATTTTAGTTTTTGATTAGGTTAGTTTTTTATTAAAAGAACTCAGTGTTGATTACTCATAAAAAATTCATGAATTGCAAACTGCGAATCCAAGAAAACATCAGAAGAATTGAATTTTAGCAACGTCTAAACTGAATATTTTAGCTGTTGAATGAAAACCCAATGAGGAAATTTCATGAAGTAGACAAAAGAATTGGTGAAGCTTAACTGGCAATATCGCAAAATATGCGCTGTTATGCAAATGAACGTACTTGACTTGGTTTTCGAGCGAATGATATTGCAGATAAAGCTATTAAAAATTCCAAAGGCTAGCCATTAAAGAAAACGTAGATTCATTAGCTTCGTGCATATGTTCTATTGGACTGAAACGGTCAACATCGGTAGATATTTTTAAATGATTTCAGTCAAAATAAAATTCGCTGTGACTACGATACGAAAAGCTCCATTCCGCCAAACAAACGAATCTTGTGTTGGTAAAAGATAAGCAAATTGATAGAAACACTTTTCGTGTTAAATCAGCGTGGAATCTGTGCACACAGTATGCCCCAAAATATGCTTGCCTATTTGTTCTTGTCCTTGTTTGACTATTCATAGCGACTAAAGACTGTCCTAGGTGCGCGACACCTCAACCCTTTTTGCTACTGGACTTTAGATCATTTTCCAATACAGCATGTCTCAATACATCAACGTACCTTGGCACGGGCTTCACGCGATGCCTCTGCTTCGGCAGCCATAGCACGTTGCAGTTGCTGCGGCAGACGGACGTCTTTCCTGAAATTCATTAAAAAATTGTCTAATTTAAATAACAGAAGAAAACATCTACATATACATTGAGGGCAAAGTATAAGGTACAAAAGAAGCCCACAAATGAGGACCTGAAGTTTTTCTATTTATCCTAGACAGGTTCTTAGTCAATGAGAATTACAGTTTAGGTACTTAAAAAATCAATGCTGCATAATTTCACTTTAAAACTGTCTTTTTATGTCACCATTTTTAACTTCAAGTATTTTTCACCCTTCATGTTGCTGGTTTTTTATTAATGGTTTATGCAAGGCAGAGTTGCAGGCAAGGTCCGATTACATTGTAACACTTCTTAACACTTACTCGGGTGTGAAAATATTGCAGAAATGTCAGAGTGAAAAAAGAATGGAATGAGATCCCAAGGGATACTCACACTTCAACACGTTCCACCTTGACTCCCCAAGGATCTGTTGCTTCATCCAACGTTATCTAAGACATCAAGGGTAGACGCATTTTCAAATGTTAGTTAGCTGGGGGTATCCATAAATGCCAAAAAGAAATAAAAAACTACTGCAAGTCGTGGAATCCTTACGAAATGAAACCAAGGATATAAGATTCTACGACAAAAATAGGTTCTAATCTATTCTTAACTTTTGGAAATCTAAAACGTGATCGCAGTAATTTAAATATATGCTTGAAAGTATCCTGGAACCTCCATAGAATGAACACCGTTCAGACCAGTGTAATTGTCCATTGTATAGAGGTTCCTGTAAGAGCGGCTCGACAACTTTTGACAGAAATTAGGGGTGTCCGTTTTATAGAGGTTCCGTCTTGACCATTTGGGACAGTAATACTTGTCCGTTGTTGAAAAGTATCCGTTGAATAGAGGTGCTTACCTGAATTGACTGGCTGATTTGTTCCCTCTCCATTAAGATTTCACTCAAGCTCTTTGTCCCAAGAACGTTTCTCAGAGTTGTTTGTGCCAACAGCTTGGTGGAACGTGTAGCATCTTCAACATTAATAACCGATGAAATTGGGTTTGAGATTTTGAAGTAAACGACGGCATCAACTGCAATCGTTACGCTGTCTTTCGAAAGAATCTGCGTAACAGAGAAAACAAACAGTGATAACAAATAAAAATACATGGAAAACATGGATTGTCAAATGGAGATATGACTGCACAAGATACGCATTCTACAATACAAAAGTTTCAGACGGTCTGTGCCGTAATATACGTGTCAGTCGCTTGAACAATTATTAACACTTAAGGAAAATCATCAGGAATAACAGTTTAGGTGTGGAAAAATGCTTATGGATAATATTTTTTAATAAACTTGAAACTGCTGAATGAGAATCTTCGATTTGACTACATTATTAGCGATTAAAGCTTCTTGAATGACTGTACGATAGAATCAGAAAGCTGAATCAGGGTTACCGTATGAATCAACAAGCCTATGAAACCAAAGATGTAACCGATTAACAACATGCAAAGAGATTTAATCGCCAGAAGCTGAAAAGATTTGCTTACACCATGAACAATGCTTATCCATCGAGGAGTTCGATCTGTGCAAAAGGCAATATACCAAATCGATTTATCTTGAAATGCAAAGCTTGTTCAGTTTTGTTGTGCTTGATGGGATCAGTATTTGTGTAAAAACGACGGGGAATCGTATAATTGATCTATTGACTTTATTAAATATTTACTATATACTGAGCAACTTAGCCACGTTTGAACAGAATCATCTCCTGAGAAATCTTACCACGCAAACTATAGGGCTATTTACTCTTAGTGACTTTGAAGATTTATTACACGTTCGGTTAGCCTAAACAATTTTTTTTGCAGTTTTGCAATAACTTGGTGAAAAACTGCAAAAAATTACCAAAGATCTTTGCAACGGATAGTTTTATTGATGTGGGTTTATGGATTGTGGTGTTAACAAAGTATAACTGCAGTTTTAGAATAATTCCAAACCATTCAAAGAAAACTGCATCAGAATGCACAAAGAGCAGGTTATTAAAATGGCATGACTGATAATTTCAAAACAGATCTTTATAGAAAGTGGTTTAGGACTTTGGCAAGTCTGAGATTTCTGAGCTTGAAGGGTTTAGAAACAAAGACCCCAGAGTAAGATTTCTTCAAACATTTTATAACATTGACAGGTTCATATCACAATTCTGTTGCCATTATACCTGCCTTAGACTACCATCTTTTTAACATTTCTTTATCCATTTACAAAAATTTTATTACACACTGATTGACTTTTGTTAAGTTTTGTATCATACTATAAGAATGTGATCAAGTTTTTGAAAAAACTAACCTCCTGTGGTGGCACATCAAATGAAACTGTTCTCAAATCCACTTTGATATAATTGTCCACACATGGCAGAATAAAGAAGATACCTGAAAGAAGATTAAACAAGAACAAGTGAAGTTCCCACCAAAATGTAAATGAAAGCAACCTCACCAGTATGTCACTTAGGAATATAAGCAAAACTTGTCTCCTCTGAAGAATTAGTAAAATATAGCAAATAACAGCAACTTTATAATTGTACCTTTTATAAGCGTTGGTGATATGAGTTCTGATGTTGAGCTTAATTCATATAGGTATAAGGCTACCTTTATTAGGCAACCGCCCATCAAAACTTAACTACAAAAACAAGAAGGGCAAAACAATTATTCAGAATATAACTGGAACAAGGATAACAACAAACCTGGGCCTTTGGCACCTCCTGGTCTAAGCCTTCCAACCCTGAAAATGACAGCTCTTTCATATTCTTGAACAATCTGATAAAAAATTTATAAAATAAACAAAATTAATTCTAAACTCATCGCTTCCAATCATCAAATCAAACATTTTACAGGAGAAATTTAATATTAACTCTGGGTGAATGAATGAGGGAAACTGCAGTGGATTTTGAAACCAGATCCAATATAATAATTGATCAAAAATTCAATTAGGTTATCTTGTATATTTACTTGTGGCTTTTCAATATCTCTAAATAAAACAGCAACTTGAAAACGAGGAGTTCCTTGCTCTAAAATTAAAAGTAACTCTAAATCATCTTTACACAATGAAACAAAAACTGCAGCCAAAAATCTACAAAAATCAGGTCTTTTAACTATTCTGATTGTCTTTTGGTGCATCAGATCAGATCTTTAGCCATGAAGCAATCCTTACCACAAAGTTATTGAAAATGGAAAGTGTGAAACACTACTTTTAATGAAAGCAAGGATGGCAGTTGGCATATATACTTAGATACATATCAAGACCTTACCTTGAGACAGAACATGAGAGAAAATGGGAATGTACAGATTGTTATTAGGACTGATATTCCTGTTAAAAACCATCCACATATTCCAAGATTGGCATTTTCGTCAAGCCCTGAAAGATAAAAAAGAACCTGAGCAATTTTGATCATTCAAAGTTATTTTCATTTATTTGATTGATTAAATTGTTGACTACCTGAAACTTTGTCTGTTAAATTGTCAATTGTGAGCTATTTGTGCTACCTTTCTGCAGTCCTGGTAATATTAGGCACACCTACAGTGTGACAAGTGCTGGCAAAATGTTATGGTTTTAGCATAATTTTTGCCAAAAATCGTCTTTTAGCACAAGATCTGGCATAATCTGAAATCTAGCTTAATTCCAGCTAAATTTTAATATTTTGTTAAAAAGTCATTGTTTTCATTGATAAGTGATCTCCTGTCTATTGTAACTGCATGCAAACACTTAACATCCTCGTGTGTAACTATTATTATGAAAGCAGACTGTGACATCATCTTATCATAACAAATTATTGCAAGGCTGCAAGGCTCAATAATGATGTCTGTATCTGGGGGTAGATGATTTCCAGAAATAGTTCTGTGAGTAAAAAATATGGGCTGTTATAAAAAATATTTGGTATTAATCTATTGATAGTACAGTGTTGCTGTTTATGTTCATAATATATAGTTACATTATAATATTCTATTTGTCAAACACATTTTAGACACTCTTGTGATTCTGCGGATAGGTTAGCTCTTTTAGCAGGATAGCCTTGATTTGAATCTAGCATAATTTTTGTAAATCTAGCATAGTTTTTGTAAATCAAGTATAATTTTTACACAGTTTTGGCATAATTCGGAAATTTCAGCCCCCCCCCCCCAGTGGCACCGCGCCTGAATAAGATATCATCTTCCTGCTTCTCTTCATGGTTTACCGCGTATGAACACTGCGTGTTCTAAACACATTACTCTGAAAGCGCGTCTTTATAAAATTAAGTATTATTTCAGCTTCTAGACATTTTTATCGTTAGAAGGTTCAGTGCCAAGATATTTGTGACTTTATTCAGAATAACCGAAGACGTAAACAACACAATACGGTCATGTGAGCTCATATCAACAGTATTTGAGACCTAAACAGGACAGCAAAATGGCCGCAGTAAAGCTAACAAAGCAAAAACATACGTTTCCAATAGCAATTTTTCCGAACTATGGCTCGCTGTGGCTAATGATTATAGCTAATTGTATAAAAACAAAGAAAGATAGTCTTACGAAGATAACCACTGCTTCGTTCGTCAGTTGGGACCTCCATATCTATTATTGGTTTCACTTCATAAATGCGGAAGTGAAGTGTTTCTCCCAGTAAGATGAATAGAATATGCAGCGGAACGTGCAGGTGTACGACAGTGATGTCAGAAATGGGTGAGGTGTCCTCTCAGCTCAATACACCTACTCACTGCACCTACTACAGAAAACAGGCCACAGCCAACTCGGAAAATGGACCTGGGTTTAACCCCCACCCCCCCCCCATCCCAGACTGTAAAATTTTGGGTTTGCGCGGGGCCGCGGGGAACGCAGTAATTATTTCCTCAAATCGCGTCCGCGCATTTTTTGCAAATTTAGATTAATCCGTGCATTCAAGCAGCGATTTTCGAGTGAATCTCGCACACAGCTTCGCCACTAGGCTTTAAAATGCTATTTAAAAATTACCGCAGCTTCTAACCAGCTATTTTGCTACATGACTTTTTCCCGCGCAGGCGTAAGCGGCAGAAAATAATTCCCCGCACACAAAACATACTTTGCACTTTCGCCACCACCACCACTTCCGCACTAAGAGATTTCTGCTGGCAAAGTGTGAACAACTGTATCCTATCCTATCCTAATTCAACTAAAAACAATAATATATTTTAGACCCTTTTATCTAACTTTATATATACATGGAATTATCAGTATCTCAAACTTCTCTGGTTCACATTCGCAAGTGAGTCATTGTCTTTAAGTATCTTCTAAAATATTAAACATTGAGGGATAAAAACTTCACAGTTTGTACAACTAGACTTTGAATTGCTAGCTAATTTGGATGAATTGCTTGGGACTGTGTTTCTCTTAATACTTTGTTGTTATATCAAATGTGGAAAAATAAGACACAGTCTTTTTCTCAAGAGGTGAGATTTCAGCAGGTGGCCTAAGATTGAGAAGGAACCACAAATAAAAACATTTTAAATCGTTCTGCTATCAAACCTGCTGTTTATCAATAATTCATAATGATAATGTGAACAATTTGGAAATAAAAGATTTACAAAGTCAGCATACAGTCTGAAGCAATAGTCAGTCTCAATGATAAACATATTGGACAGACAGGGGCAAATCTTTCAGTATTATATATAATACTATATAAATAGAGTGTTGATCTCAGCTGCTTCTCCCGTCTCCTTATTTTCTTAATGTTTCCCTTTTTGAAACAATGGCTTTTCTATACTCAGCAATAAATGTTGCCTCACAATGTCATGGGAAAGAGAAATTTGGCAAGGACAGCCAGAAGCTAACTGTTTTTTACCATGCAACCTTGCACTAAAAAGGGGGAAATGAATAGTCATTGGATACATTTGAGATCGTGGGTATTAGATTTGGTAGATGATAACTTTAGTTGAAGCTAAGGCCAACAGCTAATTGTGAAATCATACTTGAACCAGTGGGGTGTCGGTTCTTTATCTATGTGGTGCAAACTAATGGGCTTTGTTTTTGATGTGACATCAGGCATCATTCTGGTGTTACAACTTGGATTGTTATAAAAGGGGAACATGGTGCTTTCTTAGCTCTTCTCAAATTCTCTGTGGAGGGCCCTGTAGCAAAATGGAGGGAAAGGCCTCCTACAAGCAAAGCAAGCAGAAAATTTGAATCAAATACATTTCCCGAAAATTTCTTGCAGCCATTTCCTTGAAGCATTGCAACTTCAAAAAAATTTACTATTTTTTAAGCAAATTTATGTTGCATTTGATTAATTCCAAAAATACTTAAAATAGAATTCATAACCTTACGAGGCCCGCTATGCCTTGAGGCCATTTGCCCCCCTCCTCTTTGCGGCCCTGGGTTTTTAGCAAGACCTACACCAAATTTTGAGGTATTTTTCTGAAAAAATTATATAAAGAACACATTACTAAAAAAACTGGAAACAAATGCTGGCCCTTAATTGAAAATCATGGAAAATCATGCCACTACAATTGTCCCTTGACTACAATCATATTTTTGAAAAACAGTACAAATTTGAAAATGGAAATAAACATTTCACCCTTAAAACAAATTTTTTTTATTGCAAATGTAATAAGACACAAACTGCTAACTTGTCACTCACAAATGGTCTGCAATACATTTCATGTGGGTACACCCTTGGAAGCCTCCTGTTAGGTTCATACATGCCAAGAACCTCCTCAGCCTGGCTATGCCACTGATGCCTGCATACTGTTTTAATTTGAATATGATACAATATCTAACAATTTGATTTGAGCGGAAACAATACCCTGATAAATGGCACATCCTCATTGGACAAATATTCTATACCATGCTGTCTCTCAAAAGTTGCTTAACATAACATGCCTTTCGGATTTAGGTAAGCTGAAGGTAGGAATCTGAAAACCAAAATTATTGGGGTAAAACCTATGGCATGCAAAAATCGAATTTTCCAGCATGGATGAGCAGTTACTTATCAATCTTCTTGTTTCCTGGAATAGCTTGAATGATTTAATAAACCCAATAGAGAACCTTAAATGCAAATGCAAGTATATAGGGTGTGATCCAGGGTGTGGCTTCAATAAATTCCCTACAACACAGCCCCCTTCTTAACATTTTAGGATGGCACCCCTGTGTTTTAACATAACTCTACCTAATATATAGTTACATAATCTCATATTGCATGCTTTATAGTTCCTCTATTCTCTAATGAATGAGATTCAAATTAAATAGACAAATATTGGCATGTTTGATATATTTGTCAATATTTAACAGCTGTTTTCCATTTTGACTGAATCATAGATAGAGAGAAGCAACAAAAATTTGATGCAAATTTCTAATGAAAGAATATCACAGTGTTTCTTTGACACTTATCTGATTATAAAAGACCTTAATTAATTCAAACTTCAATAAATTGGAATAAAAAGTAAATCACTTTTGGCACCCATAACACAAATGTCATGCAAAATCTAATAGGGCTAACAACTCAACAATTTGCATTTGTTTTTCTGACACTTTTCTTCTTTGACACTTGCAAATAGCTGGTTTACAGCGAAATCTTTGAGCTTGTGTGTTCAAACTAGAAACAACTTGTATTCTTCATACAATACTTTGTTTAAAAGTAAAAATCCTTGTTATTCTGAAATGCCTCTTATCAACCTGTCCTGAGCAGACAAATTATACTGCAATTCAAATAACAGACAGAAGCACAAAAGTTGCATAATCTGGGAGATAAAAAAAGTAAAAAGATTTGCTTGAATATCTGCCTAAACTTTTGGAGGTTTGATGTAAGATATATGTAGCATAGTACTTTGTTATAAATTTGGTGGTTGTATTTATTACCTCTGCTTTGCAAATAGCTATCTAGTACTGTGTATGAAGGCAAAGTTTCCAAGTTTCTGCTTTACTGTCTTTCTTGTATATTAATGATATTACTATACAAAAATGATGTTTAAGCTGTTGAGGTACTGCCATAAAAGCTTCTAAGATAAACAAGTTCTTCCAATGCAAATCTTTGAGTTCCAAGGTGGCTTATTTGATAAAATTGTCAATGACGTGAACAATACCAAAGTTCAGTCTGTAAGAGATTGAGAATGAGGAATTTATCAACCTAGTTGAAATATTAAAAACCTGTACTCCTTTTTCCAAACAAGAACTGCGACGAATATGGATCGTTGCATCTGCTTTTTTAAGGCTCGTTGGAAGTTGAGAGATTTTCGAATTTTGCCTACCTCGACAAATCAACACGTAATTATCATGACGAAATTATTCAACGCACCTAAGAAGCATTTCAGGAATTCTTCAAAAGAAAACTGGGCTGTGTGGGATTGACAGCGATTGTTTGTGACAAACAATTATAAACATGCACAATACCATTGAGAAAACTGTGCTGATTCTTCCTTGTTTCATCGGCATGCCAAGTTTAAATTTATCAGTACCAAACTTCATGCTCAAGAATCACGCTATCAATTAGTAAACTGCCTTGAACGGGCCGCTATAAACAATGGCAGTATGAGAAATTTCTGGGCGGTTGCTCGTGCAATTTTCAATGTGCTTATAAGAGATCAGGAGCTTGAATCCTGGTATTGTTCAGAATAAACGGCCTAATATGACAAAATTTCGGCGTAAATGTTTGTAGGTAATAATTGATTTCTTCGTAAACAGTGTAAAGATGTCTTAATTATTCGTCAAAGTTGGGTTCATCTTCTACGCAATCGGAATAAAGTGAAAATGCTTTCAAAATCAAAAAGGGTTCTACATCAAACAGCATAAATATATGTTAGCTTCAGGGAGAAAAAGGAATTTGAACAAACCATCTGTAATGTTGCCATACTGAGGTGCTCTCGCGTCTAACTTCACCGCATCCGCCATATCTTTCTTATCTCTACGCAGAAGAACTGTCAACAAAAATACATTGAACAGAATATGTAAATTTCATAGTTTACGCTTTGATCACGTGCAACAGTTTTGGTTCTAGAGCCAATCGTCGATAAGTATGTGATTCTGATTGTCTTGATTGAAATCAATAAATTCCCACACGAGATACCAGCAGGTTATTTGGTCATTCAAATATTTTCAAACGAATCAAAACCTGAAGTTAATGACTGCCGAGTGTGCAGATCTTTAGATTCAAGGTAATCTTTCCAACATTTTTCCGGTGAGATCAAATTACAATACCATCAAAATGACGACGAATCAAATTTACATGCCTATGTCAGCTAGATTCATAAATTCGTGGTTGCCATGCTTTTACCATAAGATTTTTTTAATCCGTTCTTTCTCACTTCTTTTTGTTTTTCAAGTTTCTTAATTCCTTCATTTTATCTTTAAAGTTTCTGAACACTACCCAAATCTGATTTTCCGACTTTTGAAGCTATGAATTATTCATAGGGAACATATTTTTCAATACAATACACAATAAAAATGTAAAAGAAGCAAAGTGAGGTTTGAATTAGACTTCTTTTTCAATGCATGATATATTACATATTACTGTTATGTTTTTCTTGTTATTTTTCACTATACTTATCCTAGAGTTATTGTACTACACCACATGGACGATTCCAAGGGGAGCGAAAGATAATGACTACCCCATGGCCAACAGGCAACGTTAAACTACATACAACTACATTACTTATGATTAAAACTAATGGCTACAATGCCACCGCGGAGCACTTTTTGCAAAAAATGCCAAATATTAAGTATCAAACTACCAGAAAAGCCTCTTTTTATACGGTTTTAGCTCCCCCCTCCCACTTTTTTTAGAACCCTCACTACCTGATTTAAAAGCTGTCGAAAATATATGATTATTTTTATGATGACTCATGTTATATTAAGTGATTGACATTTCGAACTGCTATTGCTTTAACTTCCGGTCGCTTCACGCTGAGAGCACGTGATTGATTACTCGTAATTCGGTTTTAACCTGTTAGACAGGGAATTTTTAACAACAATCGAGCAAAGTGCCTAACCTTAGTTTTTGCTCTTGATCTGAGTGATGATTGAGTGCAAGAGGTATCAACTCATGCTTGGCATGTAAGTGCTATTTAATATTGCACTCTCTAGCTGCTGTAAAAGTTGGAGTTCATTGCCGAGCGACAATGCTGACGAATCGACGGTCTTTCATTGCTGACTAAAGCTCCTCTTCAGTATAGCTTTTTTGAAGAAAAATTTTTATTAGAACATTTTCCTTTCGCTTGCATTTTGTTCAATACTTAGTTTCCCAGGCGTGCAAATATATCAGCTCAAATGACATTATTCAGTTGCCGAATAACACAAAGGTCAGAAAACTTCAAAATCGAGGTAAAGCAAGCTAAATTATGACCATGAGCCTTTGAATTCCACGTGCTTGAAAACTGCAAAACCGCCATTTTGATGACGTCATGCAAACTTTAAATAGCAATAACTCGTTATCTGCAGGTCTGATAGACTTTATTCTTTAGAACTTTTTGCTCCTATTACAATGCCAAACAAGATGGTTGAAGCGATTTTTCAAAAAAGAGAATTAAAAATTTTGATGACCGGGGAAAGTGACGTCATCGATCACGTGATTTCTATTGTGTTACAAAAATGTATCTAAGGCTTAAAATACTCAGCAAGGCTGAAAGTACCCAGATCAAGAGCAAAAACTAAGGTTAGGCACTTTGCTCGATTGTTGTTAAAAATTCCCTGTCTATGTGGCTATCGAAAGATAAGAAAGTTCTGTTTGGTTTTTATAGTATGATAGTTTTAATATTTTAACAAGTCACGAACGCGACTCGACGGGGATAACAGCCTAGAAACAAGGTCGATAATGGCAGCATCTCTTTTGTCATGAACACATATCATTATCAGTCGAAGAGTCATTAATAGTGTGCAGTTTTACAAACGAAAAACAAGTACAGTGGAATCCCGATAAAACAAGCCCCGGGTCCTCCTAATTACCCTCAATATAACGAACTTCTCATAAATTTATCATCAGTTAATTATGCTTAAAGGGCCTCTCCAGCCAAAAAAAAATTTTTTTTTATTGACTAAAAGGTTAGCATCTGGTGCGTGTATTATGGCAAAGTTGTCGTTTTTGCAAAGTTTCAATTAGTTTAGAAGTTATAAGGCTTTAAAGTTGCACCTTTCCGAGAAAAAAACGACAAAAGCCGAATCAGTTTTGTGACATTCTGACGTCACAGTGTGCGGCTCTCGTTCGTCATGAATTTCTTATATCTTCCACCGAATCGTGAAGGAGTCATGGTCACGCGTTGATAACTGCATCTAAATCTACAGCAGGTGCTTTTTAGGATCGAAAAATATTAAATGTTTACAATTATTCTAAGTTTGCGGGTCGGAATGTGTCCATGCTGTGTGACGACTTTGTTTTGATCACCTGTGTAGGCCTACAAAGCTACGGCTTCCTGTTCCAGCTCTTCCCTCGCGTATAATTAATCGAAATTGACACTTCAAGTTGTTTTCCAGAAACGATGAACAATTAAAGGCTTCAGAATTGATATCTGAAATGCTCAAACTAAAAGCCGGTGGAACAGGACTGAGAGCACCAACAATTGCAGTGTTCAATTTGCGAATCGCCGACGTGCGATTCGGTTTGAGGCGAGACTAACGAAATACACTGTGACGTCATAATTGCGTCACAGTGTCACCAAACCGAAAATATTTTGTCGGTTAATTCAATTCAATTATCGAAATGCAAGAGCTTATATCTCACAAACTGTACAAAATATCGAAAAACAAATAACGAATTCGTGATCAGCAGGTTCACCTCCTTTAGATTAGCCAATAAAATGCAATTGCAAATTTTGGCTGGAGAGGCCCTTTAATTATTTTGTCATCGGCAAAACATGCTGATGATACATTTAATAATAAAAATATTAATAATATGAATGGAAACTTTTCATTTTGAATTCCAGTTAAAACTACAATTACAAATCTCACTATTACAAGGTAATTTGTAACTGGCTAGCCTGTTTTTACAAAATAAGACTATTACAATTGTAGGAAAGAGAAAAAAAAAACGTTAAAAGGGGAGTAGCTCTGGGTTAGTCCATGTTTTGTTCCTACAGCAAAAAGTGTAATAGGTGGTACGAATGGATATCGTAGAAAGCTTAGAAATGAGATATCGTTTGTGTTGATCATCGATGGAAAGAGAGTCACACATTTCAAGGAATGAGCTGCATGAGTCGCCGAAGATGCCAAGAGAGCTGATGGAGAGATTTACAAATATGACAGATTTGAACCTTGGTCTTAGATCTGAGACAAGGCGAGCATATTTTGAACGTTTCCTTTCTGCATTGCAGTTAAGGTTAGTTTCAAATCCTATCGTTAGTTCCAAAACATAAAGAATGTTTTCCTTTGTACGCAGAAGTAGATCTAGGCGCAGATTGTCTCCATTTATGATGGATGGTGAGGAGAAGCCAGGTATATCGGCAAAAAGAGAGGATCCCTAATAATGGAAACATTTCATTTTCAATTCAACTTAAACTACAATTACAAATCTCACTATTACAAGGTAATTTGCAATTGGCTAGCCTGGTTTTACAAGAGAAAAAAACTATAACAATCGTAAGGTAAAAGGAAAAACTGAGAAAGATAAAACAATCAAAATTAAAACGGATGTAATTCCGGATTTGTCCATGGTTTATTTTTGCAACAAAATATGTAGTACGTAGTACGGATGGCAATGTTGGAAAGTTTAGAGATGAGATACCGTTTTTGTTGTTGATCGATGGAGAGAGAGTCACACATTTTGAAGAAGGAGATGCAGGAATTGCCAAAGATGCCAAGAGAGCTCATAGAAAGATTCACAAAAAAGACACATTTTAACTTTCGCTGTAAGTCAGATAGGAGAGGAGCATACTTGCTGTGTTTTCTTGTTGCATTTGTGTCAAGATTGGATTCAAAACCAACAGTAAGCTCTAAGATGTATAGCTAATTGTTGTTAGTCTTCAAGAGAAGATCTGGGCGAAGGTTTTCTCCAGTTATGATTGATGGTGAAAGATAGCCAGGATATCAGCGTAGATGGTAGATTCATTAACAGCTTTAAGAGACGTAGCTAGAAAATTTAAGATAGAGTTATGAAGCCAGGTGTATCGGCCTTGTTCCAGATATGTCTTGCAGCTAGCAACAACGTGAAGGAGGGTTTCTGGCAGAAAACAGAAAGAACAGTCAGAAGTCTGGCTCAAGTTCCACTTTTTCAAGTTTTTCTGTGTAGCAAGGGTATTGTTTAGGTACCTTATGGTGAAATTGAAAATATTCTGAGGCATGCTACTTTGCACCTTGGACCAAAGTTTGTTTATTTGTGAAAGATCCTGGTTGAAAAGATGTGACAATAACGTTAGAATGTTTTGCAGACGATCTTTATGTTCTTGCTGGACAGCCTTTAATGCTCCTTTCGTGTTCCTATATATATCATATTGTATATTTGTGCTACTGCTGGTATTTTTCCATAAAGAGTGAATGTTATCGTTTGGTGAAGATCTCAGTGCGTTGCGTAAAATAGTTTGACACTGTAGGAATTTGGCGGATGGTAAAGTTAGGCTGAGTCCAAACTGGTTTTTAGAAAGAATAATGCTACTCAAGGTAGCACTTATTGGGAGGTCGAGCCACTGGCGGATGTATTTGGATACGAGGCTGTCAAGATTCTCGAGAACCCACGTCTTTGAAAGATCTGCTACAGTAAGGTTCCAAGAGATTTTAGAAAGAACAAAGTTGTGATAAAGAAGCAACTTATTTTTTGCATGTAGAGGCTGGGAATCAATTTGTTTGAGCATGTTGGACAGTGATGATAAAAGATCAGATTTATGTTCTTGGTTTGTCATTTCAAAGTCAAAATGACGACCGAGGTACTTACAATAATTTCCATTCGAGACAGGTGGTATAAATTCGTTGTTTATGAAAAGCTTAGGTTGATACTGAAGAGAACGTGTGGAAAATTTCTTTATTCCAAAAGTGATGCATTTATCGACACGTATGATCATGTTAGCCTATTGGCACCAGCGAGTGAAACAATTCAGTAGAAGTTGGTTTTCTTTCTCATTGCTGGTGATAACGGCAGCATCGTCTGCGAATTGAAACCAATGGACTGGTTGAAACATACGGTCGTTCTGATCATGTGGGAAGAAACCTAACTGTTTGTATTTTTCAGCTTTTATGTACTGTATGAATGTGTTGAAGCAAAGATTAAATAGTAAAGGACTGAGGCAGTCGCCTTGAAGAACACCGCGACGGACTGGAATAGCAGGAGTATTATAGTGGCTTGTGATGATAGAGGTTTTAAAATCGGTGTAAAGGCTAGAGATAAGAAGTTGTATGTTGTCAGGGATATGATGGTAAGATAGTATAGTGAGTATCAAATTATGATGTACTTCTCCAAATGCATTTTTAAGATCGAGAAGAGTGACAACTATTGAACGTTGCTTGATACGAGCTTTGTTTATGACCTGAGCCATCATGGCAGTATGCTCTAAAGTCCCTGAAATATTCGAGATGAAGCCTTTTTGTATTTCGTGCTCAATGAGACCATTTACTTTAAGAAAATTGAATAGACTGTCACGCAGGCATGATGTGATGATTTTCAAAGGCACTGGCTCAAGAGTGATTGGCCTGAAGTTTGCTGGATCGTCATTGCTACCCTTTTTGTGAATTAGGATAGTACATGCCTTTTTTCCACTCTAAAGGAACTTTTCCAGAGAGCCAGATATTATGAATGATATTTGTTATCAAAGAGCGTAAATATGGACATCGTTTAAAAACAATGATGGAAATTTTGTCACGGGGACATGGAGTGGCTGAAGATTTCATACGCCGAATTACTGATGTGATCTTTTCATAAGAAGGAGGCTCCAAAGGAAAAGGGTGGTCAGGCTCCCTAAGAGATGGAATCCATGAAGGAATAGAAAAGTTTTTGCATGGCAACAGAGAAGAAAACATTTTAAGGTGGTCCTCGACCCTGAAGATGATTTTAGCTATGTTTTTGAAAATCATTGAATATTTTTTAAGTCTATTGTTCAAATCACACCAAATTTTCACACAAACAACAATAGCAATTACTGCAGATTTTTTCATAACAATAAGATGATCACGTGGTTATGGTGTATTTTACAGACCAGGAAACCTGGACCATAAAAAATGCTTGAGAAACGATTTTAGAGAAGTGTAAGCTTACATTAAGATAATATCTATTTCAAATTACTAAACATAAAGAAAGCATTGAAATGAGTTGAGAAAATTATTGTCATAGCAACCGTTGCTATGGAAACTGGAAAAACCATTTTTCTTGGATAACTATCAACAGAGTAGACAGATTAAAATTTTGTCAACTCATATCAAAGACACCATAAGTACAATTCCTCCTACCAAATTTGATTGAATAATATTGCATGCTTCTTTTTTTATCCTTTCTTAAAGTATTAAAATGCGCATTTGAGAAAACGAGCTTTAAAGTTCTGGTTGCGTATATTTACAAACTCGACATCAATGCTTCAAAATAATTAACCAAAAGAGGTTAAATTTGGGTCTTAATGGTCCAAGACCAATTGGTTTTAGATTATTCCCTTATATAATTAGGAAATAAAGTATTTCCAAAAGGTACCTGTACATAAGGTTATATGAATTGTCTTTTTAGTTATTGAATTTTTCTTCTTTTTGCTGATTTCTCAACATAAACCATTTCAAGGCTCTTTTCATCAATAAACACTACATCCATGTTATCCTTGTCATCAACTTTGCATAGGTCTTTGTCTGGCACTTTATGGATAGAAAAACCTCCAGAGGCATAAGCTGCTCCTGCTTTTGTATTTTGTTTTCTCATCTTCCTTAAAATTTGCCGTCTTCTCTGATAATCTGTTTTGCATTTGGCCTCCACTTTCTTTACCCTTTTCTCATTTGCAGATTTGTAACCTTTGATGGTGTTTGATCCCAAAGACAAAACACCTAGTCTTTTCAGCACATTCCCAGCACTGCCTGCTCCTGCATTCCATTGCAAAACAGATGACGCAACACAACATTCCAAGCGCTGCTTACCACAGAAGACTCGTTTGGGGCATTTTGACCAAAGGACATTGTTGAGGGCTTCATTTTGATTCTGTGTGAGACCTTTTTGACATCTGCTCAGGAGTTCATCACCAGTTAGCCTTTCAAATATAGGTTTTAACTCCTTCCTGAAAACTGATGGCAAGCACTTTCTCTGATCATAGGTTGCTGTATGGGAAGCTCTGTCTCTCTGGAACCTACACCATGAATTCTCTCCTTCAGGACAAAACTGATGTTGAACCTCATCTGGCTCATTTTCACCTTGAATGCAATGATAAAATATTGCCCAAATTGCTTTTTTCATCCCCTCAATATTATTAGTGTGATTTCGGATGGCATAACCATAATAATTTTGCAGTGAGTCTATTATTGCATCAGTTAGTCTACCACGTCCTCCAATCGTTCCACCATCTGCTAACTTTCTACCTTTGTTTTTGTTTTTAAAATTGCGCAAATTAGAGCCCATTCGCTTTTGGATATGCCCTATACAATCCTCTTTCAAAACCAAGTATCCATCTCCAAATTTTTTGAAACAGGCATCTGCAACTTCGGCAAATGATGATGAATCACCATCACCAACATAAGTTGTATATACAAGCTGATGTTTCTCCATTGATCTTAGAAACATTTTTACAGCAGCCTCTTTTTCCATTGCCTCTGAGGAGCCTTTGTGGTTAACTTCACAATGCTCTTCATGATTAGAATACCAATTCTTGTACTTTTCTGACTCTTTTTCCCACTTCTCTCTAAATTTACACTCAAAACAAATTTTGGACTGTACTTCATAATCCAATACTTCACCAGTCTCAACTGATAAAATAAACACAACACCAAGCAAAGAACTATAGCCATAACGTTTTTGCCATGTACCATCTACTGACACACTAACAGGGACATATGAAGAAACAACTTCATCATTAATGTCAGTGTTTATTTGCATAAGGTCTTTTAAATTTTTTGCTGCTTTACAAAGAGACTCTTGGGCTTCCTTCTGGTATGATGTGGTGATTTTTTTCAGGATTGCACTGAAGGCATTTGTTGTAACTGGTGGAGGGACATCTAATGCACAACATATTTTTGACAAACCTGCCAATCCATTTCCACTTTCCACACCTCCCTGCGTAAGACGTATGTTTATTTCTGAAACATCCATTTTATCATTGTTTACGAAAGGGCTGGTGCTGAAAGAATCTGTTTCTTTGTCACAATTGCTACATTTCCAGAATAAAACCTCATGAAGACCTCTTCTTTTAGAATTGTCTTGCCATAGCTGCAAGGTTCCTTTTGGGTCCTTACAGAGACGGCAGACGGCTGCTTTACTCAAACTGGTTAGCAGATTGCTAGTGTTCATCACCTTGAAGCCATGTGCAAGTTCTCTTCCACTAGCTAGGCCAAGTGAGTCTTTACTGTACAAATCCAGACATTTCCTTCTTTCATTTATGTACTCAGACTGTTCTTCGGCAAATAAAGGACAATTCCTTTTCAATTTTTCTAATGATTTGTTGATCAATTTCCCAGATGGACTCTTGAAATTTTTTGGAATCGTGGAGGGGGAAGATGGGCCTGGTTCTTGTGATAGTACCACATCTTCGTCGTCATCAACTGTAGCGCTATCGTTTCTGGAAGCCTCTTGTTCTACAAATTGTTTTTGCACTCCGTAAAAAGCACGTTTTCTCTTTTGACGGTAAAGGCTTCTTTGCTTTCGTCCAGGCATTCTAACTCTGACAAACGTAAAACAGTATTTCGAGGTGCACCGTGGTGAAAATTTACAGAATATACTTCATGTAAAGCACACTAAAACAAATTCAACTCAATAAAAAAATTGTAATCGTGTTCCAAGGTAGATTTCGTCTTACCTGTGGCCAAAAAAGGGTAAAAAAGATTTGAGAAGTTACCCTAGCAACCAGCTTTTCTCGTTGCTAAGAAGAATATTTGTGACTGCTCTTTGAAAAACCTTGATTTATGACCCGTTTTCGGTCCGTATGTGCACAGGGGCATTTAACAAAGAAAGAACAACACCTAAGGCATTATAAAATTGAAAAAAGCAAAAAAGTTGGAAAAAATTTTTTGATGATGAAATATAGGGTCGAGGACCACCTTAAAGAAATACTGAGAGCATTGATCTTTGGAAAAGGATGGCAGCAGAGTCGAGCTTGTTTGGAGAACGCGTTTGACGTATCCCCAAAAACTCTTTGAAATGAAGTTATCATGATATAAAGTTATAATAATAATAATAATAATAATAATAATAATAATGAAAACATTTTTTATTTTATATTCTTCTACTTACAACAGTAACCTCACTTTACAGGTAGTTACTATCGGCTAGCCTGGTGACAAGTTTACTAATTTTACAAAAGTTATAACATTTAAATAAATCATATGAGTGCAAAGAATCTTTAGAAGGAGAGCAGTTCAGGGTTTGTCCAAGTCTTATTGCGCATACAGAATATATAATAGGATGTGCGTATAATTATTGCTGACAGTTTTTTAATTATAAAATTACGGTGT